GGGAATTTCCTTATTATTTTAGAATGAGTCAAGAATCGACCCACGGTCAGTACGTTCCGGAGCCGGAGCACGTGAGCGTGCACACGGTGAACACCGAGGGTTCGAGTTTCACGCCTCCGGGTGACGGAGGGCAACAGCAGAATCAACCTGAGCCGGCGGGACAGCCACCAGCTGTACCACCGCCAGTCGTACCACCTCCAGTGATGCCACCGTTGGCATTACCGCCGGTGGCCTACGAGCAGATGTTCTCGGCCATGATGGCCCATTATATGCAGCACATGGCGCTGCTTATGCCCATGTTCCAGCCACCGCCACCACCACAGCCGTAGCCACACATCGTTACCTTCAAGACGTTGAAGGATAATGGAGCGGAAGAATTTCGAGGAGACAAGATGGGGGAACCCTAGATTGCATTGGATTGGCTTGAGCAGATGGACCGGGTACTCAAGAATTTGAGAGTCCCAGATGCTGATCGCTCGGAGTTGGCGTCACAGATGTTCCGGAAGGGAGCATATGATTGGTGGAAGCGCATTGACCAGGATCCACACACGCCCAAGCCTTGGACCTGGGATCGCTTTGATCGAGCCTTCACAAAGGAGTACGTCCCCACCCGGTATCGCGAGGAGAGGCGCGATGAGTTCGTTGTGCTTAAGCAAGAGGGGATGTCACTGCCTGAACTGAGACAAGAGTTCGACTACCTGTCCCAGTATGCGACGAGTCTGGTCTCCACTCCGGAGGATCGTTTGAATGAGTTCGTCAAGAAGCTATGGCCGAACTTGAGGCCGTACGCCGTGCTGATCACGACGACAGATTTTAATGCGGCGTATGATTTGATTGTGAAGACGGAAAAGAGCTTGGACGATTTTCAGGCAACCAAGAAGGAGGATCGAGCGACGAAAGACCCGCGACCCGCGGCCAGCACCGGGCCGAGCAGAAAGAGTTTTGGATTCGGGGGAACGAGGTACGAGAAGGGTTCTTCGAGTGCGCCGCCGCCTAAGAGGAGTAAGTCGAGGCCGTCTCCGTCGGCCGCCGCTAGCAACTCGATCAGAACGAGGAGCCACCCGCAGTGTGTACAGTGTGGTAGGCATCACCCGGGCGAGTGTTGGCTCGCCCAAGGCTTATGTTTGGGTTGTGGTCAGCCAGGGCATTTCAGGAGGCATTGCCCGACAAACCCTAGCAGCGAGCCTGTTTT